GTCAAATAATGAATCTCACTAATCCTCACCTTCTTCCTCTGTAAGGAACAAGGACATGCTCCAAAATGTAGATAATGATGATGGTTTGTTTTGTTTCATTGGAAAAGATTTTGAACTCAGGGCCTCACACTTGCTAGAGAAGAACTCTACCACTTGAGCACACCCCCACCCAACTCCTTTTGTTTTTAGTTCTTTTATCAGATAAGAGTCTGCCTGTATGTGTGTGTGTGTGTGTATGTGTGTACACATGCACATGCACACATGCAATCTAGTACTGGGGCTTGAACTCAAGGCCTGAGTATTCTCCTTTAGCTTTTTCCACTCAAGGCTAGCATTCTAGCCCTTAAGCCACAGCACAGCTCCACTTTGAGCTTTCTGGTGATTAATTAGATATAAGAATTTCACATAGGGCTGGGAATATGGCTTAAAGGTACAGTGCTTGCCTAGCATGCATAAAGCCCTGAGTTCAATTCCTTAGACAGAAGAGGCGGGAGGTGGCACTGTGGCTCTATTGGTAGAATGCTAGCCTTGAGCAAAAGCTCAGGGACAGTACCTAAACCCTGAGTTCAAGACATGATGGGGAAAAAAAAATCTCATGGACCTTTCTACCTAGGCCAGCTTTGAATCACGATCCTCAGATCTTATCCTCCTAAGTAGCTAGGATTACAGTCATGAGCCACTGGCACCTGGCTAGCACCTGGCCTTTTGCCATGGATTCCCTTAGACCTCCATCCTTCTTGTCATCTCTCTCCATCATGCCCAACCAATGATGACTGTATTTTGGCATCAAGGTTACATTTTTGCCTTTGGTTTATTTGGTTTATTTCATATCTGTTTCTACCTATGACACATATGCAAACACACACATACGTATATATCTTACATTTTAAAGGTGTTTCATAATCTATTAATTTTTATAAATATGTAGTTTAATTGCAAATTCTATTACTATCCATGAAGGATTCCAAATAGAGGAATAGATGAACAAATCAGATATTTTCATTTTTCTGTTGCAGAGAAGCAACACACCCTGGGTAGATAGTTTGTAGGGCATGGTGGGCATCTGAGTTGGAAAAGAGATGTCTTGTGATTTCAAGGACTTTACAATGGATGGAGTAGAATTCTAAAGATCAAATGAATAACCTCAATTATTCCCTGTCAGATGGGACCAATAGCACTGAAGAATAGATGAGCTATGCTCAGTGTCTTCTGGTTCCTGGGTGAAGAGTCTGCATAGTAAGCTAGAGAAGCCAGCAGTGTAGATAGCTCCATCCCCAAGGTGGGGACCTCACAGATCAACTACTGTCTCGGGGTTTACTTTTTTGCTGTACAATAGAAGGAAAGTTGGCCAAGAGACAAGAGCTAAAAATTCAGTTTCCCAAGTAAAAGACTCTAGTGCTTTAGCTGCCAGTATCCTTCACAGTAGCATGTTAAAAAAAAAAGTTAAGGGAAACCAGGCTGTGAAGGCACATGCCTGTAACCTAGCTCCTTAGGAGGCCCAGGTCGAAGATCACTGTTCAAAGGCAACCTGGGCAGAAAAGTCTAGGAGACTCTTATCTCCAATTAATCATCAGAAAGTAGGAGGTAGAGCTGTGGCTCAAGTGGTAGAGTGCCAACCTTGAATGAAAAAATCTAAAGGACAGTACCCAAACTCTGGATTTAAGACCAGTACTGGCATTAAAAAGAAAAAAAAAAAAAGTTCAGAGGAGTCGATCGCTTGACCCTCATCACAGTGAGAAACACAGGCTTTACATCACTAATGCTTTGATTCAGTTCAATTATGTATATATGTAGAAATTGTAAAACCTCCAAAATAAAAAAATTGCCCAATTGTTTACCTTAGGTTCAACTTGATTTTTGTTTTTCAACTTGATGAGGTCTTTATACATTACCTTCCTGTCTCTAAAACTCTAAAATAAGCTTTTATATTTACTTATATTTTGCAAGTGTCCCCACGTGTGCATATATTTTTAATGCCATGTGAGTATACTGAAAAGATTATACTAAACCGAATATACAAGGATAAATAAAAATAATGTCTTCACTGAACTTATTAGACTGCTCTTTCAATGAGATTCCAAAAGGGATGGAAGAAGTTTATTCTAAATTTAAAATATTTTAAATGTTAATAAACCTTACGATGTCTATTTTGTAATATTCATCAGTTTATATCTTTATGATTTCGTCTGATGATCTTTAAAAGACTAGTTTGCCTTTAACAATGTTGAATCCAGACTCTTAGTTTCACAGCTAAGGATTAAATCAGAAATGTGAAAGAGAAATAAAATTAAAATTTATATTATGGAAGATGATGAAAAGACCACCAATTAAATGTTCTACCATGCAATCAAATGTTTTTAACAATGCAAAGCGTGTTTTTACTATAACTATTGTCTTTGGAATTGTCTAGAATTTTATTTGCCTCTAGCGTTTAGGGGAGGAAGAAAGTATATCTATCTGGTCTAGAGGAACTTGGGTAAATTTAGGAGACAAGAGAAAGAAAAGAGGAAGAAAGCCACATACTTCTCCATTTATAGGAAAAGGAAGTGTTGACATCACCTTCTGCTAAAATCTAATCTGTTTAAGTCATTTGGGTAACAAAATGCCTTCTCCAAAGTTCTAAGGTAATGAGGACCATCCAGTACAATTATTATCTGTTCTGTTTATTTGTTCAACATATACTTAACTAAACACCTCTGATGTGTTAGATACTGGGAATATAAAAAATCCAGGGAAAGACAGAATGCCTGCATTAAGGAAATTTGGAGTTGAATGGGAGATAGGATGAGAAATTAAATAATTATAAAGTTACCATATGTAACTCTGCTCAGGAAGGTCAAGGAAACATGGTGGAGGTATGAGTCAGAAAGCACAGAAAGGAAAAGGACACAGCACAATGCTCTGTGCTGGAGGTACTCCACATCTGTTTCAAACAAGGAAAAGGTTCTAGGCAGGCTAGTTAAAGCCAGTAAAGGTAGAGATTCAGACATGTGCTTCCTATCTTCTCTTCATCTCTGGAGCAGAATGAAGCTATTATGTGATTTGAATCCGATGGTTGGTGTAGCAGAGTTTGCATTTTGAAAAACTTCAGCTCTGGTTTGAGAAACAATGGAAAGATACCCAGAGGAGCCCTGACAGAAGAAGTTAAGTGTCTGAGAGAGAAATGGTTAAGGAATAGCAGTGTTAAGGGTGGAGCAATGGAGACAGGAGGAGGGGTGTGTGTGTTCTCGAATTTGTGCCTGTGTACACATGCACACCCATGCATGTGCCTGCCAGTACCAGAGGCTGGGGCTTTAACTTAGGGTTTGGGACTATCTCTAACCTGATTAAGGCTAGTGCTCTACCACTTGAGCCACAGCTCTATTCTGGCTTTTTGGTGATGTTAATTGGACTTTCTTGCCTAGGCTTGCTTCCAACTGTGATCCTCAGATCTCAGCCTCTTGAGTACTTAGGATTACAAGCACAAACCACCCACACTCAGCTTGGGGAGAGGGTTTTGCATTCAGACGTCTTCTTCCCTCACTAAAGTGGTTGCAGCACCAAGAAAGCCAGCCCTCCAAACGTCCTTTTCATTTTCTGCATCCTAAGCAGGGAAGTGTGGCCTTTTTGCATGACCCATCCAGAGGTAGCCTTTGGTGCTAATGGGAACAAGACTTAGAGTTCCAAGATCAAGTAAGTGAAGTCTTAGACTGCCAGGAAGATTTAAAAAAAACAATTGTGATTAGAGAAAGGGTGTGTGTCTTTATTTCCTCCAACTCTCTAATCTCAGCCTGGAACCTGTTTTGCCTCAGGTAAAAGAAATCCACTGTGTGAAAGAACAGCTGGAAGGTCTTAGACCAGAAGGTTAGGCACAGTGGGCATCTTTGAGAGCTAGAAGTAACTCATTCTCCAATCAGTTTAGAGAAACTAGGTTTATCTTGGGCAAACCTGGCTGCCCCAGCAAACAGGGAAATTTGGACGCTTGCAGTGAACCTGTTTCTAAGGCTACCCTTTAAGAGGCTACACATTCTTTTCCCTCATCTGCATTATTGGAATGCAAAGGCAAGCATTTAGCAGCCTCCAAAGATACTTTTATTTTGACAATCTTCTGCCCTACACAGTACATTATGAAAATAACACCCCACCCCACTCAGGCTCTGTGGCTGCGTTTTTGTCTTTACCCAGCAAACCACTCTCAGGCAGAAGCAGTTCTAGTGGGAGGCACTACATAGCCGCCACTCCCAAACACAGGATCCTGGCCTCCTCCTAGACCGGGAGAATCAGACTAAGCACTTGAATAAGAATCCTAAGGGTTCCCAATGCATGTTAAGGTCCAGGAAAAAAATCTCTGCACTCGGACCTACAGATAGAAAACCATTTTACAACGTGACCAAGTCTGTATCTACTCTGAACTGAAACAAAAGTTTAATGAAGCTTTACTAGGAAGAAAGAAAGAAGAACGTAAAAGAAAGAAAGGAAGGAAGGAAGGGAGGAAGGAAGGAAGGAAGGAAAGAAGGGAGGGAAAGAAAGAAAGAAAGAAAGAAAGAAAGAAAGAAAGAAAGAAAGAAAGAAAGAAAGAAAGAAAGAAAGAAAGAAAGAAAGAAAGAAAACATGCTCACGACCCACTAAATTTCAGGATCCACTCCTGGGTCTCTCTCCACTTGTGGCATGAAAATGCAATTCGAAAGCACCTAGAGATGATCCAAAGAGGGTGGGCCGGAGGAGATGCTTCCTGGGGTGCTGTAGAAAGTGAAGACCTTCACATTCAGTTACTTGTTGAAAGGCAAGCACGTATTCAACTCTCTAGTAACTACTTACAGTGAGGGAAAGTTTTGAGTGGCCTGGGACTGCAGCGAGTGGCCGCTAGCTCTCAGCGCCCCAGGGAAGGGTCGGGCTAGGAGACGTGATTGGCAGCTGGGAGAGGCGGAGGGCTGGAAGCCTAACAGCTAGAGGTTCTGCCCAGCTGTTGGCGAGGAGTTTCCTGTCTCCCTCCCCCCCCCCCCCATCCCCTCCGCCCCAGAGCTGGGTGAAGTTGAGTGAGTCACTCGCGCGCCCCGACCGACAACACCCCCGCGCGTGCACACGCTCAGGACGCAGCCAGCCTCCAGAGCAGCTCCCCTTGGCCGCCGGGGGCCTCTGCCGGCCTCCAGGCCCCCTTGTCGCCGGGCCAGCGGGAGCCACATCTGGCCCGCACCTCTGGCTGGCGCGCCAGCCGCAGGGGTCCCGAGAGGGCGCGGCGCAGAAGCACAAACCGGGGTCCGGGCTGGTCTATGCCTAGCAGCGGGAGCTGCCATGGGTCGGGGGCTGCTCCGGGGCCTGTGGCCACTGCACATCGTCCTGTGGACACGCATCGCCAGCACCATCCCACCGCACATTCCGAAACCGGGTAAGTGTCCGCGCCGAGTTTGGTGGGGCGCAGGAGTACCCTGTGTTCCTGCGCGGACTGCGCTTGACAGTCGGCCCGCGGAGCAGACGCGGGCAGAGACGAGGAAGTTTCCTCTTGGCCCCTGGCACCCCCCCGAGCCAGGGCGGCGGGGAGGGAAGTTTTTCTTGAAAAGGAGAAGGTTCATTTGCTGGGGCTTGGGGCGCTTCTGGCCCCTTTGTGCGAGCAGGGAAGGCGGGTGTCGGCCGCAGCCCGGAAAGGGAAGTTTGAGAAGTTGGCTATCTGAAGGCAGCCGCCCCGAGCTGCGCCCCAGCCATGCACACCTGGGGCCAGGCGCCCCTGGCAACAGGGCCCGTTTGCCTCCACTCTCTCCCCTCTTCCTGCCACCCACCATCACCCAGTCCTGAGCTCACTGGAAGTGGCCGCACGTTCCTCTAGGCCGGACTGTTGGCCTGGGTTTACTAGAAAAAGACGAGATGAGATCTGCCGAGTGAGGCGGTGACTTTTTCTGTCGCGTGGCCTGCGCCGGTGCAGGGGGCCGGAGCGCGGGTGGCCTGGGCGATGCGATCTCTCCAGCCAGCGCCTCCTTGCTGGGACCCTGGAGAGATCGCTTGCAGCCGGGCCTCCCTTGCCTTCAGGAGTTGCAGTTTCTCTGTCACTGTCGTTCAGTAGAAACCAGAGGGTTAAAATCTTCACTGAGCTGCACACCTGATCCTGGTCTCAAAGGGTTCTTAAGGGGAGTGGATGGGGCCAGGTACGGAGTTCTTAACGACGTTTGGAAAGCTTTAGAAGTTCTGCAGCTGTAGTGTACATCTCTTGAGTATCTGCAGCTGGGGTCTGGGCAGTTGGGGATTTGGACAAGTCCCAAAACTTTTGGGGTGAGGGGCTCAGTTTCCTCATCCGTGGAATGATATGTTCAGTTTGGAGAAGTTTATATTCCTTTCATCATTAACATTCAGAACCCTGACATTTTTTTGGGGGGGGGCGGGTTCTGGTCACTTGGGGATATCCTGTGCCAATTTGGGTGGACAGTCTTATCCATCGAGCAGTCATATTCACTGCAGCACTGTGATACATCGTATCACAGAACATTCAAAGTACATTGGAAACTTTGTAGAATTCATGAAATTAAAAGTCGTGTGGAAATGGAGACCTTCAGTGGTAGGAAAAACACTGTCAAACCAAAAATCCTGACACAGTTTTTGAGGTCTTGAATTTAAGAAAGTCTCCAGGTTTCATTCTTTACTGTTTTTCCTACTTTGCAGAACTAGAATGTCCAAACTTATCTGCTTTTACTTTTCTCTTAAATACTGAATTTCTTTCTTTCTTCTTATTTTTTTTTACTAATAAATATTGTACGTCATATGACACCCTTGATTTTCTGTGAATGTAAAACTTCTGGTTCATATTGGACAGTGGAAGAAACACTTTTACTGTTATAAAGTGTCAAAAACTTGAAAAAAAAACCTCTTGGTTCAGATCAAGAAAGAAAGAAATTAGCAGGCCCTGACTTTGTTAGTTAAGTGTTGTTTACAAGGATCAGATTTGTGATTTGCAAATTTCAAACTCAATAGTCTATGAGTCATTTCTACATATGCTTTTAAATAATTAGCTTAAAAGTGTGGTGGTTTTTAATTTGGTTTTTAAATCATTTTATAAGACTAACAGAATGCATATTTTTATGGAATTGAAGTTTTTCCAAATGGTCGAAATAAGGAATCACTTTGAAATTCTATTTACTTAATTGGCATTAAGTTTTTAAAAAAAAAAAATGGTTAAAGGTAGAAAATAGCCACAATAAAGATGAGCAGTCTAATTCCATGTATATTTTAATTTTCTATATAAATGAATAGTACCAGTATTGTTCTAATATAATTGGTAAACTATGAAAACAGTTTTATAAATACTTTAATGCAAAATGAGATATGAGGGAATGAGACTGTTCAATCTTAGTCATTAAACACACACATCCACACCTACACACACATACACACACATCAGAAGCCTATCTTCTTAGTAGCTTGACAAGTGTACAAAGAATATTGGTATAAGAACAAAAGTCACTAAGGAATATATTTTAAACATTTAATTATTTTGACTAATATAGTTCACTTTTCCCAAATGCTCAAAATTAAGAAATGACTCTTTTCCTGAAAACTTCAGATTTGACAAATATAACTTTACTATTCAGATACCTATGAAAGATTCTTGTTAAGGACTAAACATTAGTAACAGTGTCATAGGGATTAAAGATTTATAACATTGCTTGAAAGACATGTTTCCTTTGTCACCATCAAGGTCTCAAAATCATTAGGCCTACCAACTTCTTCCCTTGCCCTCTACATAGAATACCTTTTTACATCCAGGCTACTGCTTTTGAACTTTCGGTCCTCCAGCTTCAGCTTCCCAAGTGCTGGGGTTATAGTTGTGTACCCTCATCCCTGACAAATTATGTAATTCTTTTCTTATATTTTTGTTTGTTTCAGTGCTATGGATGAAACATGAAGTTTTGAGCGTGTTAGGCAAGCATTGTATTGCAGGGATACCTGACAACCCTCACAACTTCCTTTCCATTTAGATTAAACTTTATGTTTCCTTTTTTTTTTTTTAAGGAGGATCTTGCTGATGCCAGTATAGAAGGCCACCATTCTTATTCTTCCTTCTCCATAATATTTATCATCTTGTTTCTGGCAGGATGCTAAGGCCCAGAGACACCATCCCAATGAATAAGACAGATACGGTCTTGGCCAACCTTGAATTCAACACACAGAAGTGCCTTACAGGCAAAGAAAGGAGTACATGCTTTAATGTGTGCACTTGGAACATCATTGAATAGCTTTGTTTTATTCCTCCCATGTTCCCAAGCTTTGTCACTCAAAACTGGTACGTTACCACTTGTACCACATCTCCACTTCTGGCTTCTTGTTGATTAATTTGAGATAAGAGTCTTTTCATGGACCTTCCTTCCTGGGCTGGATTAGAACCTCAATCTTCTGATCTCAACCTCCTGCGTAGCTAGGATTCAAGGCATGAGCCACCACTCCCTAGTAAGCTAGCATTTATGAATTGTATAAAGGGTTTCATTGAAATAGTCTATATATACATGTAATGTAATTTGATCAAAGTACAAATGATGAGGAAATCTGCTTTGAAACCCTAGGTTGAGCTGTAAGGGTCTTCTCCTAGGTACAGTCCGGTTTTAGCTCAGCAAGAACAAAGTGATCTCTTTATATGACACTCTTTCCACTGGACCCTGAAGCCTCTCAAAGGCAAAGAAAAATGTGCTATTCAGTGCCCTGTCCCCAGAGCCTCTCTCACAGTGGCATTTTATATAGCATCCAGCAAATGCTGGCCTGAGCCTCCACTTCCTCCTGCTCTATCAGTGAATGCTAGGTGCAGCATCAAACTACTAGACAGTATTAATTACTGGCTAGTTGGCTGAATGGCAAAATCTAGCAATTAGAATAGTTTTACTTCTGATCAAAAGTAAGAAATTTGATGCATTTTTGCTGTCTAATTGGTTCTTGTGTTCTCAAGATATACAGAAAAATATTATGATTTCTTATAAACAACTGAGAAGTTTTTAAAGAGTAGTCTCTGTTGTCTCATGTCTATAATCCTAGCTACTCAGGAAGTCGAGAGCTGAGAATTCAGGTTCCAAGCCAGCTGGGACAGAAAGTGTGTGAGACTTTTATCTCCAATTAACCACACACACACACACACACACACACACACAAACACACACTAGAAATGGAGCTATGATTCATGAAACAGAGCACCAGCCCTGAGTGAAAAAGCTAAGGGACAGCACTTAGGCCCTAAGTTCAAGCTCCAGTACTGACATGAGCATGCACACACACACACACACACACACACACACACACACACACACACACACACACACACACACACACACACACGCAAATTAATTTTAAAGGAGTATTTCAAAGCCAATACAAAATATTTTTAAAAGTTTGTAAGCAACAAAATGACCCAGTAAATACTGAGTTCTCTTTATTTTCTTTGAGAAGATTGTCAAAGGACGACTTTCATTTAATGGTTCTAAATTTAGTTCTTTAGTTTCTGTTTTTGCTGGTGGGTTGAGGGGGGTATTTGGTTTATAAGTGGTGTAGCACAGTTGGTCTTAAAGAAGTGCAGTTCCATAGCAGCCAATGTCTGCTGTATTGTAATTTAGATCCAATGCAAGCCACCAAAAGCTTTAAAATCGGGGACAGGAAAGCGTACTTCCTGGCTGCAGCATGGCACATTGAGCTAAGTTCCGGATAAAGGCTAATTCTATCACCTTGTTAGTGTGGGCCACACAGCTCCCTCTCTGAATCTGCTGTAGGATTCAACTCTGACTTTCAAGAGCAATGTCCTAGGAGCTCAAATGCTCACCATGTAATTCTGCATGTGCATCCCTTCCCACCCCCTTCCTTGTACTAGTTTGCTCCCTAGCTACCTGTTGCTTCTGACTAGGGCCAGAGTGTGATGTTAACTTCTTGGTGAGGCATGAGGAAAGAAAGTTTGGAAGGCAACAAGGCTTGAGGGCTCACCTCAGGGAGTTGAGAAAAATGACTGGGAGAACGAATACTTGAGAGTCACTTAATTTAACTACCAGAATATGCCTGAAGATGCGTCTTATCTTTAGTTTCCAAATCAAAAGAGCAATCTACTTCCAGAACCAACTCTGGTCATCGGTGTGTGTGTGTGTGTGTGTGTGTGTGTGTGTGTGTGTGTGTGTGTGTGTGTGTGTGTGTGTGTGTGTGTGTGTGTATCCTAACCTAGCATTTGGCTGTGTTCTTTGTTCATGCTGTGTACATATGTGTTGGAGGACAGACCATCAGTGGGGCTGAGGGCCACCAGATTCCACAGAGGGTAAACTTACCATCTGACATCATCCATTCAGAGCTCCAGATTAGCAGATTTGCTTTGCTTTGTGATTTGCCTCTTCCAGATGTTCTTTGTAGCACAGAAAGTTAAGATGGGACAGTTTCTTCGCA